AGCCCGGGATGTGGTTGGCCTTCTGGGCTGCGAGCACACGTTGCCGGCTTATGTTGAGCTTCTCATCAATCAGCACCCCCAGGTCCTTCTCCTCAGGGCGGCTCTCCATCCATTCTCTGCCCAGCCTGGATTTGTGCCAAATTATACCCCAAACCGCCTGCCCGCACCGTCCCACTGGGGTTGGTCTGACCCGCGCTGGCGGTGCCCGGGAGCCTTTGGTTTCGCTCTGCTTTGCCGAAGTGAGCTGAAGTCGGCGGAGCTGCTGCTCCCGGAGCTGGTGATTAAAAAACAAATCACCTTTGGTTTTGCAGCAAATTACGTTACGATTGCTGCATATCTGCCACTCGGCGTAAGACCAGGAGTGTTCAAACCGCTAAGGCAGGTCAACCCTTGGCTGCTTATTCCTCCAGCAAAGATACATGAGGTTTTCTAGTTCCTGTGTTATTTTGTACGGTTGTACGTGTGCTCAGTAATGACGGTTCCAACCCTCAAAGCACCAACTGAAACACTTCCAGTTCCTCCTGCCAGAGGTTGGCACTGAGCTGCTTATCTGCCTCATCGGGAAACGGCGATAAATCCACCTCCAGCGGGCACGGCTGCCCGGCGTGGTTTACTGCGCATTGTTCCTTTGCCTCCCGCCGTGACGGGCCGTTTGACACCTTTATAGATGGTTTTGTGCCGTGTGGGATTAACCCACATCGATCACAATTCCAGCACAGAGAAATGAATGCTCATTTCACTCGAAGAGGTGACCCGGGTTGTTTCCCGCGCAGAAGGTGGGTACGTTCAGTGGGGTGGAAAGCACAGAGGTTGATGCCCCGGTACAGCGAATTCCCCCGTCATCTCTGGAGCAGAGAGTCTGTTTGCTCAGTGCTTTGTGCTCTGGCCTCTGGGCGTAAAAATAACCAAACACAAATAGTGGGTGTTCTCACTAAGCTTTTAACTCTGTAATTCACGGGCAAAGGGGAACCCGGACTGACGTTAGCGGGGCCGCGGGAAGGCAGAGGAGTTCCCGTACACGCGGGGCCTGAAGTCCGCAGCAAAATGTGGGTTTCTGCTCCAGAAGCACATTGTAGATTTGGAGCAGGGAAAATTGCCTTCCTATTTATTTCCAGCCCGTATCTTCTGCAGGAGCACTTTTCTTGGGGCTGAGTATTCACGTACAAAAAAATATATTCTGTTAACTTATTATTACTAATATTATCTTAAATTTCTTATCAGGTCAGGCTGGATCCTCTGGGCTGCTCTGCCCCATCGTGTCTTGTCTCTCCCTACATAATTCCTCCATCTCCCTCCTGTTTGGGAAGGGTAACACACACACACACACACACACCCACGCACACGCACACGCACACGCGCATACACACACAGCATCGTCTCCCGTGGGGAATGGGTAGGAATGCCAAATAACAAATGTTTGCTGCACAGACAGTGTGTCTCATGCAAATGCTCCCAACCTCATGCACTGACCTTTCCTTTGTTATCCTTATCTTTTAAAGAACAGTTTCTAGAGCTTTTGTTTGGGGAACAAAAAAGCAAGCAAACCAGGTTTCTCCCCACCTTTCTCACAGTCAGTGATGCCTGAGCAGCCTGTTCCACCTCGCCGCTTACAGACAGGCGTTATTTTGCTGCTGGGGTCCAGTAGGGTTTGGGCTGAAAGTTAGTGTCATTCACAAAAGCCACCAGATGCGATACGCTCTGCGTCAGAACCGCTGTGCCACGGGGGGACTGAGCTGACCTTTATTTGATCAAGACAGACTCCTTGTGCTTTGCAAGCGAACCAGTCAGCGCCGTAAATCCTGGCCGTGCGTGGATCTACCGGGTGGACCGCTCCGTCTGCCCTTTGCCCACCTTCCTCTCCATCCCCGCAGGCCCGAGTCCCGCGTCTGGACGGTGATGCTGCTGCTGGGGACGTGCCTGCTGTACTGCGCCCGCGTCACCGTGCCCGTCTGCGCCGTCGCCCTCAGCACCCACTTCGACTGGGACAAGAAGCAGTCCGGCATAGTGCTCAGCAGCTTCTTCTGGGGCTACTGCTTGACGCAGATTATCGGAGGACATATCAGTGATCAGTACTGGAAATTATTCTCACGTTTTCCTCTGCTCGGGCTCTTTTAATGACACAGCTTTGTTTGGAGCTCTCAGTTCAAGTCTGGACAGTGTCTGTGCCGAGTTTCACCCTGGGACAGTGATGGGGTGGAAGGGTGAAGCATGTCCCTGGGGAGAATCTCTTTGGGGCACTGCAGGTTGCTCTGAGGTCTCTACATCAGCCTCACTCAGGGTCTGTAGCTCTGATTTGAAAGGAAATGTGTAGTTTTGACTGTCCGATTTGATCTTTGGGTCTTAAAATTGGCACTGTGCTTACAGGGCAGCATGCACCGAAGGACTTTGCACAGCCGAAATCCCCAAGTAACACCCGGAGTGTCCACACGACCATTACTGCCTCCGGGGTTCCTGCAGAGCAGCGGCCAGGAGACATCTGCGCTCATTTTAATGGACGCTTAGACACACACAGGGTTTTAGTTTTGTTTTTTTTTCTTCATCTGGAAACAGAGAAGAGCACTTTTATACCCACATAATTTTTCTGAGGGAGGTTGTTTTTAGCACTGGTTCAGTAATTGGAATAAAAAAAGCAAACCTACAAGCTTACATGTTAAGCTGATGAAAGAAATAGTGGGTGTAAAGCAGACTTTATTTTAGAGAAGTGATAAATGCTGGTGCTCTGTGCATAGTTCATAGCTGCTGCTCACTGGGAGTGTTATTTGTCCATTAACAAACTGTTTAATCCCAGTGGTGCCGGTCGGCCATTTGGAAGGGTTTATAGCTGCAATCACTAACCGCAAGAAGAAAATATTTCCTTTTTGCAAGGAATACAGCTTTTTTTTTTCTATTTGATCTGTGTAGTCTATCTCCATTCTCAGTTCAGCACCTCCAGTTATTCCACCCAATATTCCCATGCAGTCTTTTCACAAGGAAGCCCCCATCGCGGTTTCCATCACGTTTGGGAAAACCAGGTGTCTCCATTTTCTCATATCAATTAAAAACCAACTACCCCAGTTAGCTGTAAGGAAAGATCTGCGTAATCACCTGCTCGAGTTCCTTTCCCCAGCCGCCCGGTTCTTAGCAGGGAGGGCTTTCCTGTGCAATCTTTTGTGAGGGACACATGCCTGGAAGGAGCGCATTACCCGTGCAGTGCACTATGCTGTTTAATTACGTTCCTTAATAGTTCGCAAGCAAACGCCTGCAAAAAAACCCCGAATGTTACCAGGCAGAGCTGATGCAAAAGAGCAGACGGAAGAGAAAACACCGTCACTGGTTAAGAAAAGCAGAAGGGTGACAGCAGCTCGGGCTTCCCCTCCATCAGTGGCAGGAGTGCATCGGTGCGGTGGGGTGTGCTGGTGGCCAGTGTCCCGGCGACGCCAGTGGCCGCCTGCTCCAGGGGAGGTGGGAAGGGAGGAGGTCAGATGATCCCCAGAGGGATAAAGACATCTGTAAGAGGAGAAGAACAGGTTTGACCCAAGGGTTGCTCTTAAAAACAGGCTAAACTGGGAAGCACACTTGAGGCTTGACTGGGGGGCTTTGCCCTTTTGCCCTCCGCTCGTTTTTGATAACGCGTTTTCTGTCTTCCAGAATAGGAGGGGAGAAAGTCCTCCTCCTCTCGGCGTCGGCCTGGGGGTTCCTCACGGTCCTCACCCCGCTGCTCACTCACGTCACGTCTGCCCACCTCGTTTTTATGACCTCCTCCAGGTTCCTCATGGGGCTGCTGCAAGGTGAGACCCCTGTCCTCAGCGCGCCTGTCTGTGTGTCCGTCTGCCGCGGGGCTTCCTTGCAGGGGTGCTCGCGGGCAGTAAATTGGGACACAAATCATGAGGTTTGCGGTGCACGAACGCCTCTCCTGCGTGTTCGAGCAATCCTCTGCCTCCAAACTGCCTCCACATCCACGACTTCTGTGGGAAAAAAAAGAAAAAGTGACATTTCTAGTGAAAGTCACTGGCAAATCATATCCCTGTGGAGATCTCTGCCAGACATGAGCTGCTGGCTTCGGAAATCATCAGTGCCCCTCTTTGATTTTCCCCATTTTAAAACTCCTTCAAAGTACTTGGGGAAAATTGGTCTCTGCCAAAACTTTCGGATAGCTTTCGGATGATTTTCCTTCCCTCTTGTTGAGCTGCCGCGCTGGAGGACAGCTGGGATAAGTGCGTTGGCACTGGTGGGTTTACAGTAGTGGTGGTGACGATGAAACGGGGGATTACGGAGAAGGCACAAACGCACCTTTCATGGCGATGAATTGACTTATTTTATTTTATATCCCTGTTTCGAATTCACCAAAGGTCTCGTTGCTTTGTCTTGGTGTTTAGCTCCTGCGGGCTCTTTTAAATTTGGTTTTGACTTGCTCACGAGGGCGCAGGAGCCTGACTGCTGCCTGCCTTGCTCCCCTTGCTCGCAGGGGTGTATTTCCCGTCCCTGGCCAGCCTCCTGTCCCAGAAGGTCCGGGAGAGCGAGCGAGCCTTCACCTACAGCACGGTGGGGACTGGCTCCCAGTTTGGGTAAGTTCTAAAGGCTTTGAGCAGTGAGTGACGGTCCCCGGACATCGTACGTGATGAAATGCCGTTAAATAGTTGGAGGCAAAACTCGCAGCCCAAAGTACATGTGTATTCCTGGGTCCTTGCGGATACCGGCGGCAGCTGAGGCAGCCTCAGGCTGTTGCTGTCGTGCGTGTCAAGGATTTATGTATTTTTTTCTTTCTTTCTTTTCAAGCCAGACTTTGAAGAGTGTCTACAACATTTAATTACTAAGGGAAACAGCCTGATTCGGTAGGAAGAGCAAGAGTCAGCCTGAGACTGGTCACCTGTCCTCTCTGATAAATGGGGACAATATCACTTCCCCCTCTCTGCTAATCTCCATGAGAATTTCCTTTCTAAATGAAAGGGTTGCTTAAAAGCCGAGTAGAAATATCGCTGTGTTTAATCACTTAGTTTTCCCGTGTACTCATTTCTTTTGCCGATTTATACGTTCCCCGAGATCCTTTCCGCACACCAGCAGCCTCCTTTTCTTTCCCTGACGAGCGCGTTTCAGCGCGGGGCGGGCGAGCGCGAGGTCCCTTAGCGATTTCTCCCCCCCCGCTGAGGATCCCGCCACGCCACGCGGGGAACGGGGCAGGTTGCAGAGTCACGGGGTGACGGGGCAGGAGGGCAGCGCCTGCACACGCCGCGACCGACGGCTCTTTCGGAGTGCATTCGGTGACCCGCAGCATCCACCCCGGGAAGCATCCCCCGCTGACGCCCGCCGCCCAGGCGCTCTGAGCCCTTTCCCAGACTCCTAAACCAGCGTGGTTTCCCTTGCAGGACGCTGGTGATCGGCGGTGCGGGGTCTCTCCTCCTGGACTGGTACGGCTGGGAGAGCGTTTTCTACTTCTCCGGTTTGCTCACTCTGCTCTGGGTTTACTGCACCTGCAAGTACCTCCTGAGCGAGAAGGGTGAGTGCAGCCGCCCGCATCCCTCGGGCTGCCAGCGCGCTCCTGAGGCTGCGGGACCCGAGTGGGACCTCCCGGTTATTTTCTGTGCATCCCCCATCTTTCCAAGACCGTGCCTGGTTTTACACCGAGACCTTTTGTTCAGATGTCTTCTGTCATCCAGGCGGTGTCTCGCCCAAGGTGCTAAACCCAGAAACAAGGTTTTGAGCTCCTGCATTGCTGGTTTCAAGTCCCACGCTGGATTATATCCCTGTCAAGAGCCTGATCTGACTCCTCAGTACTCTTAAGCACCAGTGAAAACACCAAGCAGAGCGTGATCTTCAAAGTGGATTAAGCTAAAGCAGGGCAAGATACTTATTCCAAACTAAGAGCACCTACACATAGAGCTTTTAAAAACCAGTTAATCCAGAATATCTCTTCCCAAATAACCATCTGGGAGTAATTCCGCACATGGGCAAGCCATTACACCTGGTTACAGCTTTATTAGTGCGAGCGTGGTGTGCAGGAGCTCAGCTCGTCGGGAGCCTGGTGCGTGCCCGGTGCTGCACAAAAGCCAACCCTGGTCCGTGCCCAAAGAGATTTCTGTTTAATTATAACAAGAGGTAGAACAAATCAGTGAAAGTGGCTGGATGGGGAAGTGTGTGGATGCAGTGGAAAAATTTTGGTCAAGATAAGGAGGTGTTTTCATAAGCATCCAATGCTGGTGTTGCCAAAAAAAGAGTTAGAAAGAGATTAAAGGTAGTTGTACAGCAGTGTCCCAGAGCTCCCTCCAGCTGCACAGAAAATTACTGATCAGAGCTTTCCGTTGTATGTTTTCTTCCCCGCAGAACTCATCATCCCCGTAGATTATTTAATGAGAGGCCTCTCGATACCCAAGCAGACCAAAGTTCCCTGGAAGCAGCTGTTTAAGAAGGCGCCGATATGGTAGGCAGCCGCAGTGGCCGCGAGTGCCAGCGGGGTCGGGGACCTCCTCCTTCCAAGGGCTTCTTCTCCTCTCTCTGCTTATTTCTTCCGCCTATGTGTATTTTGTCCACTTATTTATATATTTGGGAAATACGACCAGGTTTTCTAACCCCTTCTGTATGAATAAAGAACTGAAAAGGTAAGCTTGACAAAAGGCGGTTTATGTTCTGTCCAGAGGAGTGTCAGGCTTGACTGTTACTGGCAAATCTTCCTCCTTCGCAGGCTGTGCCCTCTGTGGGTTGTGTGCTCCTCCGGAGAGAGATTCTCTACCGGTCTTGTTAGAAGTGCTGCTGGTAATGGGCTCCTAAGAAGTGCGGCTCAGGGGCACTGGGTGGCACAGGCTGTGTTCCCATTGCTGGAGAAACATTTTTAATAGCCACTTTCGCTTTGGGATGCTGCATTCGGTACTGCAGCTCATCCAGGCGTGTTCCCAAGTGCTGTTTGAAGTTGGGGAGGAGGGCGATGGGGCTGCAGGGAGGCAAGCCCAGTCCTGCCTTGCATAGCCATGGAGCATCTGCCGATAACAAATCCCTAGAAACTCCCAAACAGCAGCTCTCGGAGCAGGACAGCTCTTGCAGCGCTGGAAGGGACTGGTGGGAAATGCACTCGAATTGCCGCTGCAGTGAACCTCACCTGAACCCAGGGGCTGACGCCTGGGCAGCGAAGGAACGAGCAGTGCTGCGAGCGGCAAGCCAAAAGGAGAAGCAGCCTATGAAAAAAAATCTCAAGAAGCAATTGTAGCGCTGCGAGGGATTTATTTATAGACCAGGAACTGAAATATTGGGTCGCTCGAGTGTCTGTTTCCCACCCGGTGTGACCCGTCGCTCCTGATTATTTCCTCCCCGCTGTGTATTTCCAGGGCTGTCATCATCGCTCAGCTTTCTACGGCCAGCACATTTTTCACTCTCCTTTCCTGGCTGCCAACTTTCTTTAAGGAAACTTTCCCCGAGTCCAAGGTAAGTTGGCTGTGGGACATCGGCATCGCCGGTCTCTGTGCGGATGTGGTGGTGCCAGCCGGAACGGGTTGCTTAGGGAGGAAGATGATGGCAGAGGGTGTTGGTGGGAGTCGGCTGGGAGGCAGGAGGGGGTCAAGGCTTTCCCGTGGGGCGAGGAGCCGTTGCCCCCCTCCACACTCATTCGGAGGTGCTGGCGAGCATCCTCCCTCCAGGTCAGCACAGGCTGGTTTGTAGTTGCTTGTTGAGGGATGCTGAAGGGAGACAGAGCTGGGGCACCTTCCAGGCAGGGAAGATAGGGTTATATTTGGGTTTTAGGCTGCTTTTCTTCTCAGGGAAGGATGGTTTTCAAATGGCACAGAGCTCATGACAATATGCTGTTGCAAATGAACACCAACCCATTCACTCCTGGGTTTTCATGGGGTTTTTAACTGCACCGACATTGTATAGCTCAGACCTGCCTGTGCAAATGATAATTGCCGTTAATAATGCGTACTTCAAAAATACTATGAAAGCTTCCCTCTCCTCAGCACAAATATTGTTCCCATTTTTCTGAAACCTGGGCAACGCTCATTTGGGCCGAGAGCTGGTATCTTGATCTTGTTCTCAGAAACTCAGACGATCTTTTTCACAATGGCTCTGTTAGGTTTTTATCATTTCCAGAGCTTCTTACAAATGCCTTTTCATATCACATGTGTAAGGTGCTTTATGGCATACTTGATATTTATATTAAAATCATGTATTAAACCAGCAAACATATTGTTGTGACAAGATCTGTGCACCTCGGGTAACGTGCTTGTGCAGCAGTAATTTACCATCTGGTACGCATTATATGGCGGTGCCCTTCTGTAAGATGCTCTATATAGCGTTTCTGCATCTCGTAATCGCTTCTTACATTTTGATGAAAATGGGCTTGGGGATGCTTGACTTTAAAGTTTGGATGATAATCCTTAACGTGGGAAACCTATGTCACCTACTGGTCAAAGTCCCTTTCTGCAGGTGAGCTGCCATCCAGCCCACCTGGATGGAGGTGATGGAGGGGTTTGGCTCCTGCTGCTCGGGGCGATGGGCCGTAGGGATGAGACAAGGGTGGCTTCGGTGCGTTGGGATTGACTTGCTGAGCAAGCCCAACTGGTGTTAACAGACACCGGAGATACTGCCCCGCAAGCCCTCTGGGGTAACGTTTTCAGAAGTGACCAAGACCCAAAGTTTCAAAGGCACTGAAAGGCGCAGGTGGACCCTGGTGTGATTTCCAGGAGCAGCTGAAACAGGATTATTCAAACCCCTGATTGTTCAGCCCTCCCGCGATGCTGAAGCAGGGTGAGGAAGGGAGGGATGCCGCCACGGGGTGATGGGCTCTGAGCGAAGAGGGAGATGTGGGGGACGATGGATGGATGAGTAGGTTCAACCAGCTGAGGTGAAACCCAGCCCAACCCACATGGACTTCAGCTCCTCCTGGGATCTGCCCACCAAAACACCTCTGAGCAGCTGTAATCCAGATGACCAGTAATCATCTGTGATTACAACTGTAGCAAGCTTGCTTAATTGAAAATAGACCAAAGTATGTTGCTACCCGTAATGTTACCTAATCCCGGCATTAGAAAATCCAGCTATGTTCCCTCAGCTTCACAGTAACGCTGCTAACGAGGTTGAAGCTGATGTTGGAAATTTTGCCGACAGCTTTCTGGGTGACCCATGGGGCAGAGTAGAATCTACAGCGTGCTTTCCAGGGCTCTGTGGCTCTCTGCCACATCCCCTTGCTGAACAGTAAACTTCACCACGTTTAATCTCTCTTTCCCAGAGCAGACAGAGCTTTCTGCCTCTCCCTTGGAGGCAGAGTCACTGGGGTAGAAGGAAAGACAGCAAACCTACAAGTGCTACAGCCCCATGATGCGCCTGCCACCTTTGGAGCGGCGCAGGGCGTTGCTGAGCGCTTGCCGTGCAAAACGGGCAGAGGTCCTGCAAGAAGTCCTCATCACTTCCATATTTTTTTTTTCCTTTCTACACATATCACAGACTAGAAAATAAAATATTTGCAAACAAACTCAGCTCTGCCAGCAAACCTCTCTTGATTTTTGCTCCCTTTCAGGGTTGGGTGTTTAACGTAGTGCCCTGGCTGGTTGCAATTCCAACAAGCTTGTTCAGTGGATTTCTGTCGGATCATTTAATCAACCAGGGTAAGAGCTCTTTTGGCTTTTCCTCTCTTTATTTTATGTGACGTGGAAAGAGGACCTGGGTGGGAGTCGGTGGGATTGTTGGTAGGGAGAAGAAGATCCAGCAAATAGACAACGTGATGTTCTGATATGAAAGCAGGATAAACACTCCAGGGTCCAAATCCCATCCATGTGTTTGGGGCTCCCTTTGATCTCAGCCACAACATCACCTGGAGATGAAATCTGGCCATCTGAACAGGAGACCTGGTGACCTGTGCTTAACCGCAACTCTCCTTTCTCTTCCAGGGTACAAAACCATCACCATTCGTAAGTTCATGCAGGTAAGAGGGCTGAAGCCGCTGGAGTGACATTTGAGCTGCCTGCCGAGCTCTGCTTGTGGGGCAGATGAGACCTGGTGTGGAGCTGGGGGTGGTGGTTATAGGTGGAAAGGGGAAAAGGTCTGTAGCGTTGAGATAGACTCATGGTCAGTGGGGATGGGAAATGAAATCCAAAGGAAAACCCTGACTGAGGAACGGAGCGTGGACCAGTGGTAATGTTGAGCAGAGAGATTTGTGAGCGTTCCAAAGAGGTTTTCTTTCACAGGCAAAGGCCAACCATACGCTGTCACTCCAAATGACCCCTCAGATACTGAGGAGATAGCAATACAAGGGTGAGCAGAAATAGAAGTGCTGGGTGAGAGCACAGCTCTCTGCTCCGCAGCGTCACATCCCTGCGGACAGCCCTCTGGCACAGAAAAGCAGGACACCGGGACAAAAAACGGCTTGAGAAGCACCTGGTGCATACGAGCTCTTGCCATTGTAAAAGGGAACAGTTTGTCCGTGAAAGGAGTTGCTTTCTTCCTCACAGAAAATGTGCTGTGGTATTTAATTTTCCCTTTCTTCCAGGTCATTGGCTCCGGCGTCTCAAGCATTTTTGCTTTGTGCCTGGGCCAGACATCCAGTTTTTGCAAAGCGATAGTGTTCGCCTCCGCCTCTGTTGGACTTCAGACCTTTAACCACAGGTAACGAGCCTGATAACGACAGTAGCTGCGGCCCTTAGCTCTTATCCCACCCTCGGCATTTCGGGGTCTCAGAGGAGGCTGTCTCTGTCGTGACTGTCGGAGCAAGAACTGGCGCTGGTCAGAGCATCCCATGTCGGTCCCTGCGAGGCCGGTGGAGTTTAGTGCCCGCTGGGCTGGAAACGATCCAGCAAACCTCTAGCGTGGGGAAGGGCTTGGACCGGCGGGTATTAGGGAGATGAAGCAGGAGGGGAATTGCATTTTGGCCCTTCTGAACGCTTTTGAGTGGAACCTTTTTCCTACTGGTACTCTCCTGTGCTGCTCCGCTCTCAGCCTCCGTCCCCCTTTCTCCGGCTGGTGCCACTTTTTGTCCCGGAACCCTTCCTTTTGTTTGACAGACTAAACTCTGTGTAAATGATGAAAAAGCGACAGTGCTCCCTTAAAACTGCCGTTTCCCCCTCTCTGTTTCTCCCCAGCGGCATTTCAGTAAACGTACAGGATCTGGCCCCCTCGTGTGCCGGCTTACTGTTCGGTAAGGAGTCCGGCGGGGTTTCGGTTGTGCCGGAGAGGCGACGTGTACGGGAGGGGACGTGGTCGTCACCATTAAGGTTTGGGCAGGAGTAGCTGTGTGACACGTCTATGTGCAGCCTCAGCTTCCTTCTGTGGTGTCCCTGCCATTGCCGGGGACAGGGAACCGCACCGACGTGCCTTGCCCTTTGCCAAATTCTTGCCAGCACCGAGGGGTGGGGATGGGGATGGGGGTCGGTTGTCCCAGGACCGGGCGTCGGGTGGGAGCCCGGACAAAGCCACTCGTGTCTTTGGGTTTCTAATACACAATTCCTTTCTTTTCTTTCCAGGTGTTGGGAATACGGGTGGAGCCCTCCTGGGTAAAGTACCCTCCTGCAGCTCATCCTTTCCTGGGGAGTCCTCTCCCGGCAGGCGGGCAGGATCCGGCCCCACAGCCTTTGCATTTCTTTCTCTTCTCTCCCATCCCAGGTGTCGTTTGCGTGTACTTGGCTGGCCACCTGATTGAAACAACTGGCTCCTGGACTTCTGTTTTCAACCTGGTGGCTGCTGTTAACAGCGTTGGCCTCTGTGCATTCCTCGTGTTTGGAGAGGCCCAGAGGGTGGACACAGACTCTGCCTATGTGGACCTCTAGAGATGAGTCCAGCGAGCAGCCAAAGGACCGGGGAGTGCCACGTCTGCGTGTCATTGTCGCACAAGTGCCAAAGAACATGGGGTTTTTTTGGGTATTTAACAGGAAAAAAGTATACTGAGACCAAGTACATAATGGGTCTGGATGAAACCCGTGGGAGAAAAGAAATGTATAGTTCATTTTTTGCTCAGGGCATAGCTGGTGGCCTGCAGAGCCGTCCAGCTCAACATCTCCAGTGAGGATACAGCCCGTGTGACCGGTTTGCCCCAGTCCATGTCTACTGGACAAATATCCATGTGGCCAAAGCAGCTTACCCGGCTTGGCTGCGACGGGAGCTGTGGTTTGCACACTCTGCCCCGGCGCGGTCACTCGCTGAGGGGCTGCTTCGCCATGCCGGGAGCGGGTCCCTCCATACTCTGCCATCCCGTGACCGCCGGGAGGATGGCCACCTCTCGGGCTGCCACACAACATGTGTCCTCTGAACTACATGGAAGGAATAATCCAAACAAATGTGCCTCTGACCTTAACCCTCCCTCGCGTGCCTTCATTTTGCAGTCTGCTCGACCGGTACAAAGCCAGGGGTAGAAGAGACAGGGTTGGGAGAGGAATTCAAGGCTTCCCTTCAGGGGAAATCTGGCTGGATGTCTACTGAGGACCCGGGGGCGTGAGGTTGCATCAATACTGCCTTCACGGCGCTTGGGCTGAGCCGGGGGTCTGCCGAGCAGACGGCTCAGACCAGTGGAAACCCATCTTTGCTTAAAGGCAGAGCTCAAGGGCTCCCTCCTCTCCCGGGTCGCTTGAGTCCAGCCCTGAGCCAAGGCAGACCACCTCCAACGTGAGAGCGGAGGAAAGCTGGAGT